TTCAGAAGGGAGTATTCTATCCAGAACACTGTCTTCTGTAAAATTGGTACTCAAATTAAAATGCAAAATGGGGGTTTAAAAAAGTTCTAATTAAGCAAACCAAATGAATTGTAGGAAAGCATCCAATTTTTGAATCCTCTTCAAAGTGTTTTAAAGGATGAATTACCAAAAGAGATTCTGCCTTTGGTAGAGAAGGTTGAAGGAAGGGACCATATCAACAACTAGTATTAGAACAATAATACTTATGGTAGAGGAACTAATTTCTGAGTTATTAATAAAGGGAGAAAATGAGCATATTTCAATTTATAGATAGTGGTGAAATTAGCATACTGATAAATAACTGCTAACATTTGTTTTTCACTAAAGTCAGAGTAAATTTTTTCTCACTTTAAACTCTTTCAGAGATGATTAGTGAGTTTAGGAAGTAATTATAGTGACTAATCATGTTTTCCCTGACTTTTCAAGCATTGTTCTTTAGCCATTTTTAGTAACTGATTGGAAAACCATGGAATTAATATTTTTGCATAACTGTATTATTAGGAAATCTAAACTAGTTTGGTGACTAAGTGTATCAATGGCTTAGTTTCAAATAACAAGAAAAGATTACACATGGTGCTTAATATACCTTAGAGTTATAACAAAATGAGAGCTTGGACTGGAGGGAATTATTTTTATTTTTCCATAACAAAAATTGTACTATCTTAATATCTTATATCTAAATCTTCAGGGTAATGTTGGTGATCCTGGAATTCCTGGAAGTCCTGGACCCAAAGGACTTAAAGGACTATCAGTAAGTGGCCCATAATTCCAGAAATAATGAATGTCTTGGCTTTTATGGTCAAAATTGTAAATAAAGATTATCATCATTCCACCCCAGGAGCATCTGAAATGTTACTTCCTAACTGTGTAACCTTCAGCACACCTTTTCAGGGTCTTTCTTTCTATAACATGAAAGTTGAACTTAATGAGACCCAAGGTCACTTTGAGCTCTAAGTCTGATTCTAGGAGTCTAAACTTTTACTAGGATTACAAATTGATAGCTCTCTGTCCTGAGAAATGAGTCTTCTAGTCCTTTCTAACACACGTTAAAACCCAGAATACTAGCCCTGTGAGTGGAAATGAAACTGACACCTTCCCACTGTACTCCTGAGGGTTTTCTGACAATTCCACAGCCCATAACTAAGGTCATATAGGATATTCATTTTAAGGAAGGCTACTGAGATTTCTCACTAGCAAGGTATACAGCAGAATGTCACACTTATTTAAAAAGAAGTAACGAGGCAAACATCCCTTCATGTTAAAGTTTGATTGTGGTATCAGTTCATCATTATCAGTATGAAGCTGCAGTTCAATAGGTACTTCCCATCTGCCGGGAAGTTTCCTGAGTATCCGTATCTATCACCTTGTAGAATGTGAACTCCACCGCCTGCCCGTGTCTTCTGAGCTATGCATGTAGGGAATTATCTTGCTTAGGTGGGCCTTTGCGACAGGAAGGGTGTTTTATTTTGTTTTGATTTGTTGTTGTTTTTTGATCTCTATGTGTCCTAATTTGTTTGCTTTCTTTAAGTACCAATTATATTTTATGACTAATTTAAAGTGTACAGACAGTACAAGAACAAAATATGTCAGTAAAAAAGAGGCTAAGAGAAATGGCTGTCTACACTGTTAGCAAGCAATTTACTTGACTTGAATTAGTAGTTGCTTTCTTAAAACATTTTAAATTACAAAGTTCCATAAACTAATGCATAGTCTGGTCTGCAGGGTTATGGAGGCTTGAAAGGTGAAGAGGGATCTAATGGACCCCCAGGACCCCCTGGTCGGAGAGTAAGTATGTTCATGAGAATTAAATGACAGCTAGAGAATGTTCAATAGAAAGAACATAGATTTTAAAGTCAGAAGCACTGGATTCTTGCTTATTCTGTGCCCTTGCAACAGTCACTGGGCCTGGTCTAACCACCTGTAGAGACAGTGGGGTGTATCAGATAATCTCATGGGCACAATCTTTGTGAACTAAAGTTCAATGCAAAATTAACTGGTACTGTAATTTTTTTTACTAACAGCTTAAAAATAGGGATGAGGGCCCTCCCAGGTGGCACAGTGGGTTAAAGCACATCACTAAGAAGCTTAAGCCACTTCTGCAGGAGTTCAATTCCCACCTGCCCCAGAGGAGATCCACATGGCGTGGCAGACCTCTCCTGACCCACCCGCTGCTCCCCTCAGCAGTGTACTTCGTCGATCTGCCTGTTCTGCACCCCACTCTGTCTCTGGTGAATCCTCTCACCCTCTGCATCTCTGGCCTGTACCCCAGTTCTGTACAAATAAATAAATCTTTAAAAAAAAATAGGGATGAGGTCACATAAGATTTTTTATTTTTAAAGATTTATTTATTTGTGCATTCAGAACTGGGGTATAGGCCAGAGGTGCAGGGTGGTGAGAGGATTCACCAGAGACAGAGTGGGGAGCAGAACAGCCCGATTGATGAAGTACCCTGTGGAGGGGAGCAGCGGGCGGGTCAGGAGAGGTCTGCCGCGCCATGTGGATCTCCTCCGGGGCAGGCAGGAATTGAACTCCTGCAGAAGTGGCTTTAGCTTCTTAGTGCTGTGCTTTAGCCCACTGCGCTACCAGGGAGGGCCCGGTCACATAGGATTTATCAGGGTATCCTGGCAAAGTTCCACCACATCAGACAAGATGATAAGAGTTTCCCAAACCCTTATTGTTGCTCAACCCTCCTTAAAATTTTGATTCTCAAAGATTTGGAAATACTACTGCAACTTACCATTGTAAGAAGATGATACCTCTAGAAGCAGCCCCAAGCAGAGTCAGGCATATTTCCCACTGATGGAATATTCGCATCTCTAGTTTAATGCCTCTCCTGTTGTTATAATGATTTGCTCACACATCTCTGTCTCCTCATTAGCGCATCAGGTAGGGGCTAGACACTGCCAGCTTCTGTGTTTTGTGTTGGAGGCTCAGGCAGCCCTGTATCAGGAGGAGCAGACTGTTTATCTCCTTCTGCACATTGTATTTTGTAACTGCCCGGAGGGGTCCCTTTATATAAAAAGAGACACACAAAATAAATGCTTTGAGGACTTCTGAAGCCACACTAGAATTAGTTAGCTAACTGTAAAGTCTTTACCTTGCAGTTAGGAACTGGTGAATGAATAATCTTAGTCATGTGGGTGAGAATCTAGTCTCTAGGTCCAGCCGGTCTGAATTTATCTCCTTTCCAGGTTCTGAGCTCTCATTTGGGGGGTTCCACATGTCTTGTCCTTGACCCTGCTGGCTTAGTACAATGTGACTTCTTGCATGTCCCTGACCTTCAAGCTCTTCTTAAAGACTTGCTTAAATGCGTTCTTTACTTGTTACTTGTTTGATTCTTTGGTTTTATTATTTTATTGAGATAATACTGGTTTACGACATTTTATATGAGTTAGACACGTAGAATCTCCCCTCCAGGTGTTGCCCAGCCATACCCATGGTCCTCCACCTCAGCCCATTGTGTCCGCTCCCCACTGTGTTCTCTCTAGCTCCGCAGCCTCGCTTCTGTAGTCAGGTCTCCAGGGCTTGTTATTGGCTTGGTTTTCTCCAATCCTTTGACTTCTTCCTCTATATTCTGCATATAAGTGACACCATCTGTTATTTGTCTTTCTCTTTCAGACTTATTTCACTTAGCATAATCCCCTCTGGTTCCATCCATGTTGATGCAATTAGCAAGAGTTTGTTTTCTTAGATAGCTGCGTAGCCTCCCGTTATGTCTAGATAGCTCTTTTTCCTGACTCACTCCTTGTTTTGGGCACGGAGGCAATTTCCATAGCTTGGCTGTTGTAAATAGTACAGTATTGAACACGGGAGTGTATGCAGCCCTCTGAACTAGTGTTTTTGTAGTCTTGGAGTAGAGAATGCCATTTATGATAAAAACCCTCAAAAATGGACATAGGTGACATATGTCAATATAATAAAGGCCATATATGACAAACCCACATACAACATCATTCTCAATGGTGAAACTTGAAAACTCTCCCACTGAGATCGGACATAAAACAAGTGTGTTCACTTTCACTACTACTATTCAATATAGTATTGGAAGTCCTAGCTAGAGCAGTTAGCCAAGAAAAGGATATATAAAAGGAACCTAAATTAGGAAAGAGGTAAAGCTTTGGCTATTTGTAAACAACATGATAAAATACATAGAAAAAAAAAATAATCCACTAAAAAGCTAATTAAAATAATAAATCAGTTTAACCAAGTGTCAGGTTGCAAAATCAATATACAAAAATCAGTTGCTTCCCTATATACAATGTTAGAATAGGAAGAAATCAAGAAAACAATCCCATTTATTTACATTAAAAAGCACTACACCTAAGAGTAAACTTAACAAAGGAGATGACGGAAGGACCTATACAATGGAAAGTACAAAAGACTGTTAAATAAGAGACACAAAGAAATGAAAAGCTAGCCCCTGCTTATGGATTGGAAGAATTGACATCATTAAAATGGTCATTCTACACAAAGCAAACTACAGAATTCACTGCAATCCCTATCCGAGTTTCAAAGGCACGCTTCAAAGATACAGAACAAACATTATTGAAATTCCTATGGAACCACAAATAATCCAAAATAGCCAAAGTAGTCCTCACAAAACATGAGAAATAATAGTGGTTTTCTACTTCCAGACTTCAAACTACAGTACACAGCTCTACTAATTTACGTTACTCTTAAACTAATCTTTTAGAACATACTTTCCATAGTACTGATCCTCTGAAGACATGACTGCTTACTCCATTTCTTAGCCAGAAACTCTTCCTTTCTCTGTCTAAAGGGCTATGCATATTTTTTCTGCCATAACTCACAAAAGTAAGGGCAAGACTTTTAGTGAAATTCATAATTTTCTGATTTTGTCAGAAAGGAAATATGTTCCTTATGGTAGAATCATGAATGCCACAACATTTCTGATTACTACCAGCAGCACACACTGGGCCACAGCCTTCAGCAGGTTTTTGACTCTGTTTTGGATAGATGGATAGATAGATGGGTGAGTGGGAGGGCGGGTGAGTGGCCCGCCTGGCTGGCTGGTGGATGAATGGATGGGTGGATGGGTAACTGGACAGATGACCCAGATGTCATTAAAAAAAAAGAGATTCCTGTTTGAGGAAGTGGGGGGGGGGAGGAGTAAGTGAAATTATATGTGTGAAAGCATGGAATAATGCTTTATGAGGCCAGAATCCCAGTATTTATCATTTGCTCAAAGGGATCCACATATGCGTGAATCATCTGCCAAGATCCATGAATCAGAACCAGCTGCCATGAAGAAGCCTGATGATAATTAAAGGAAATAAGAAGGGGAAAGACAAAAGCTCACACTATCAGGAAAGAAGCACTGACTTGTTTCAGGAGTCTTTCCTGGTCCATCTCACTCAATTATTTGTAATCTTTTGCTTCATAACCTTTTAGCACTTGCGAGCTTAGTAGGTGTGCTCTCCTTAGCGCAATGTCCACTTGGCTGCATGACTGGATTTGGTTCTTGCACACAGTAGAGGTGGCTCACTACAGTTTGCATTTTAGATGCCCTGACTTCTAATATGCTCGTACCTCAAAATTCTCAATAAAGTCTCTCTCCTTCATGTCTCCCTTTGGAAATCCACCTTTTACAATTGTTAGATATTCTTGTGAGAAGTGAGAAGCACTCTTCAGAGTGCTCTATCCTTAGTAGAAACGCCTTTAAGAATACTCATGCTTTCCTTACTTCTTTTCACTCTGGGGAGATAATTCAGTTCGCTCTGGGCAGACATCAGCTTAATTGATCTAAGGCTGAAATAGGAGAGGTAATGCTCATGCTGCGAATGTGAAAAGAGCATTGTGATCCCCAGCTCAGGAATACTCTGCCAGCTGTGCCTTAAAGAATGGAGGTTTTTTCCTTTCCTCTTGTTTTGTCACTAAAGGCTCCAACCCACACATACTGATAACCTGTTCTGCTTTTGTTTCCTAGGGCGCTAAAGGAATGCCAGGAGTGCCCACATATGCTGTATGTATCTTCTTATTCATGAACGAAAATCCATTTGGCCACTAGGCAGTAAAAACAGCCACTAAGAGGTCTCTGTGTTCATGTCTTTTCTCTTCTTCTTTTTTAATTTGCAGCAGTGTGATCTGATCCAGTTTGTGCGGGACCACAGTCGTGAGTATCTGTAGCATTGGACCTGGGCATCTGTGATTGGTGAGGGCACTTAGGGTGAGCACAGTAGGCTGAATTCAGTGTTGTGCATGTCTTCTGCAACAAGCTTGCCTGCTGTGGAACAGTTCACATCAGAGGCAAAATGGGGCATAAGCAAAAGACAAGTGCCTTAGCTCCTGTGCAGTGATTCATATTGGGAGAGAAAGTGATTCCTATGGGAAATGATGGGAGTCCAGTTCAAAAGGTGTGTGGATTATCTCCCATCAATATAATAATTGTGCACAAAAAACTGAGAGGACATAGCATTAAAGGGCTGATCTTAGGGGTTGTGGGATAGTTGCTGTATGACAGCTCTGGACAGAGGTCATTAACTGATGATGTGAATAGCAAAGTTCAGCAAAGGAGTAAATGAAGAGTCCACAAACAAAGAGGTTGACTTTGGTTGCAAAGGAGAAAATTAGGTAGGAAAAGCACAGTGATGTCATTTCTGAAAATTTACCATAGGAAATAAAGCAAAAGAAAGAAAAAGCAACAGGGAAACAGGTTGTTGAAATATTCATTAGGGCAAAGTGAATACATTATAGTGTTTAAGCTTTTGAATAAGTTGGTTATGGAACTTCATCTGAAAAATACTAAGGAGCTATGATTTTTATGAAGACACAGAATATGAAAGGTATTGTCTTTAAACAGCAGAAAATTAAATTGAGGACCTTTAGGGAAAAACAAACAAACAAACAAA